ATCTTCTTGAGTAACATAGGCTATATATCATCTCGCTGCAACATCTAGGAGCCGAGCAATAAAAAAGAATGTGCGTGATGTACCGAGCGCGCGAAGCGCGCGAGGAAAAGACGCCAAATAGTTTTAAATAAAGCTTCATTTTTTTTTCTTTTCTCTCTCTTTCTCTCTCTCTCCCTTAAAATTAAATAACATAAATAATATTAAAAATATTTGATAATATTTATTAATAATATTTAATAATATATTTAATAATTTAATAATATATTATTACTTAATATTTTATTCCTTCTTTTTTCCTTTTGTCTCTGTCTCTGTCTGTCTGTCTGTCTGCCTGTCCGTCTGCCTGCCTGCCTGCCTCTCTCCCTCTCTCTCTCTCTCTCCCTCCCCCTCCTCTTCTCCCTCACCCCCTCTTTATTTTTATTAATAAAATACATTTAAGACTTTTTAAATCTGTATTTTACAATTAATATTATACAGTTAATTTTTAGGAAATTATAGTTAGTTATTTAAAATTTATTTTTTATGCTGACAAATTAAACAATACTAAATAAACTCAAATTGTAAACCAATTTTACATTTACAATTTATTTATACTGAGCGTTAAATTTATGTTTTTAATAATTCTGACAATAAATTGAACACACGTTTTAAATAATATCAAATACATTTAAACCACAATACTTTTCCAAATAAATATATCAAAACAAACTCTTGGCTAATTTAATGATTAGCGTATAATTATCACTAATGTAATAATTACACACAATCATCAAGTCAAACAGTAAAATTTTTCCCACCTTTTTCCCACATGAGAAAAAAAAACAGGGTTGTGATGGGTCTGCGCTTTACTCTTACGATAGTTATGACTCTCTGATAGCAACTACATAAGCCAGAGAAAAACAACTCTTTAAATCATCATCATTATAAATAGACACGAAAAAAAAATATTCTTAATGTTTTTGACATTACTTTATAGCGTGGTCAATTTATTATAGGAATTAAAAACAATGAAATCTATGTTTTACAACTTCTGCAATGCAATGCTAAATGTCAGCGTCAGTAATAATTCTGGATAAAATAATAATAATTAATTATTTGCGCGACTGAAATTAATCTCCTGAAATTAATAAAGCTGCAAATTAAGCCATGCGATTATAGTTAGTTGCGCAAATGTGAGAATATACGCGTGCACCATCCGAATGATTAATAGTACTGCAGTTAACAGCCGGTACTTCATACAAAGTTGATGCAAGCAGCTTAACAAGGACGTTCGCCGTATAATATATTTAATAATATTATTATCTAACTTTATATTCATTCTTTTTTTTTCTCCTTTTCTCTCTTTCTCGCTCTCCCTCTCTTTTGCTTATTCTGCCTCTTCTTCAATTTTAAATAAAGCTTTCTTCTTTCTTCCTTCTCTCCCTTTCTCTATCTCTTTTTTTCTATTTTTCGTCTCTTCTTTAACTTTAAATAAAATATTTGAAAGATTATTAACTATAATAATATTAAAACATTTAAAAAATTTAGTATATAATTTAATAATATTTAATACTATAAATAAAGTTAATAATATTAAATAACATTAAGAAAATTAAATAACAAATAATATTAATAATATTTAATAACATTTATTAATAATATTTAACATTATATTTAATATTCAACAGTATATTTATTTATATTATTATCTAATATATTCCTTCTCCTTTTTTCCTTCTATCTTTTTCCTTTTCTTTAATTTTAAATAGAACTTTCTTCTTTCTCTTCCTTCTGTCTCTTTTTCTCTCTCTCTCTCTTTCTCTCTCTCTCTCTTTTCGTCTTTTCTTGTTCTTCTTTCTCTCTACATTAACTAACAAGTATATTTAACTTTATTTTCTTTAACTGTCAAACTGTCAAATGGCATAAACTGTCAAACTGTCAAACGACACGAGTGATGCAAGTCACATGAACGAGTGAAGCAAGCGCACGAACGAGATAACCAATCAAGATCGCGAAAAAGAAACAACAATGTCAATAACATGCCTCTTTTAGGCTACTAGCACAACACAACGCGCGCTTCGCGCGCGCTATTTGTTCTTTTTCATTAAACATTTTTAACGATATATACACAAAATAACTGTCAAAATATGCAATGACAGCCGCTCACGAAGTAAGCGCAATGACAGAACCAATCAGCATCGCGGAAAAGCGACAACAATACACTTCGAGACTTCCGAGTATCGATTTTATTGTACATGCCTTTTTTAGATAGGGATGTTCCAAAACGGTGTAAAATTTCCTCTCCGAGGAAAATTTTACTCGATGACCGGCCTGGAACCAATCAGAAACGCTCAAAAAAGTTTCGGAGCGACCATCGAGTAAAATTTTCCTCAGAGAGTACATTTTGGAACATAGCCGTAGAGTGAGAAATGAGAATATGAAATTTTTTTTTTTTGTTTAAAGAGAAGATGAGCACGTCTACCGGATCCAAGGGAAATTGTCTGAATCACGTGATGCACCGAACATTTCTCATTCAAACAAGTCGGCCTCCTTTCCTACGTCCGCTTTCTCCATCCTGATCCGTAAGGATCAGAAAAGAGATATCCGCAAGATAAGAGACACGGTGTGGCAGAAAGAGAAAATCATTTATCTCGTACCGTTCAGGAAATCAACTTTCGATTTCGAATATACGAGGGTTCGGATACGGATTTGACCCAATTTCTTTATTTTATTTTATTTTATTTTCGAAAAGCGTTCTCATGCACACACGTGTGGCGGAGAAAGAAACTAAAGTTTGGTGTGTCCAAAACCTCGATCGTAAACGGATATCGCTTTGGTATTTGCTAATAAATACATTTTGAAATTTGGCTTAATTATTATTATTATTACTAACTGTTTTTATTTATAGATTTTAATTGTGTACTATATGTCGTCAGGCAAATAATTGACACTATCGTTATCGGAAAAAGAAGAAAGCAAATGACGGATCTGGAATTAACCGTTGATTTCTGATATGTGGGTCGATCATTGCCAGTAACCTGGATTCTTGTTTATTTGAAACGCAATTTTATAGGTTGGAGAAATTAACATCGGAACAAAATGGTTAAAATTGGTTGAATTTTATTATGAAAAATCTGTTATTGCGTGGTTATTGCTATGTCGATTTATTTTATAAATTTTGCTTTTAAAATGGCAGATAGCTTACTCATTCATAATCTTAAAAATAATGTCAAATTCTAGGTGTGTTAATTTATTAAAGCAGTAAAATTTTACAAAATATTATGCTTATTTTATATACTTACGATTATCATTTTTAATTGAATTAACTGCATTGATACCGATTGATACCGATAGTATTTTCTACTTAATCTATAAAAATGTTTTATCGTTATAATTTAGAAATTTACTACATTAACTTAGAAAGAAAAAATTAAAAAAATTTTCAGAATTTTTCAAATTTAATTGCTATTTTATCAAATGTTAAATGTACAAAATCAAATGTAATGAGTTGAATAAAATAAAAGTGCAACACCATCTGCTTTTAAAATAGTGTCTAAATGTGAAAATGTAACATGGTAATGTCACGATAACACAAATTTGATACGGCCTTTTAAATCCTTAATGCGGATACTGTTTATCAGAGATTTTGCAATAAACCTCAATCTCTTATGAATGGATCAAAATACAATGCAAATACGTAATGTATAGTTGTAAATTCTCGCGCTTTAAGGTAAACAGAGCATAGCTTAGTGTATGCACCAATTAAACTATCATGTCATATGTGTATATAGACTTGGCAAGTATACATGCGATAGAGCACACGATTGCTATTCCGAGAACTAATTCTAATCTCGAACGGCCTTTGGAGATACGCGAGCTACGATAAGGTTTATATAGTCGATCGTCTGTATGCGATCGAGTCGTCCTGAAGAACGGAAGAATGATTTCGAATCGGCTGTAGTTATACCTACCAGTCTCCGCTACGTATATATCGTAGTATCGAGTAGTGCGAGGGGAAGTGGAACAAAAGAGAAAGGCACGAGATGAACTAGATTTGTGGATTAAATCATCTCTTCTTTTTTCTTCCACACTGTTTCTGCCTCTTTTTCGTTTCCTTCGCAGAACCTGTCCCTTCCTTTCCCATACATATTCGCATTTCTCACATTCCCCGGCGTGTGTAAGAGATCGATCCGTTTGTTGTCCTGTGTTGTCCATTGACACGATCTACCTATCGGAATAAAGATCGGCAATAATTTGCTTAGCGACTATTGACGATGGTAGTGCGCAAAATTCCACATTCCTCGAGTATCGTGGATGCTCGCGTGTTTATTTGAGCGAGACGCGCCTTTCCTACGGGGATGTACACGATCACGATTCGAAATCGGCACGATTCTCTTCCGCTCCACTAAAGCGCGGAAGGAGAGAAAGGATGGCGAACCGGAGCCGGGATGAAAGAGGCGCGGTATCGAATGATCCGGGCGATAGTATAGTATGTGATCTAGAATGGCATCAAAGATCCCGCTCTAAGCTCGTAAGGATTACGTCTGACCGAACGGGCAAAAGACGGAGGGGAGAAAAGGCGTGAAAAGACGTTGTCCGCGTCGATGATGATTACGGAGCCTCGCTCTCGCAAGCCGACCGCACCGTAACGCTCTGAAACGCGTCGGAAATAAGAATTAAACGACTCGTCGAAGAGACCGACGTCTAGGTGAACGAAAAATTACCGGCTAATGCACAGCAAGAGCAGAGAACGGCAGCCACCGTACCGATATTCTCCTTGCTTTTTTCTTGGTACAATCACCGACCGTCAAGTAGATCTATATAAATGGCAATCGCAAGCTTTTACACTGCAGCACTCGAACCTCCGCCGTAGGTTCCGCAGCTTCGCGGTATTATACGCGAGATTCCCTTACCGTGTTTTTCCGTACGGAGGGTTTAACGACGCGAAAGGGAGAGCAGGACCCTCGGTGGTCTCGACGCCTAGACATTTCGTATCGTGACGTTCGTTTCTGGACGAAACGATGCTTCGGTTAGGGATACCGGGAATCGGTCGTCGGCGTTTACACGTCTGTCTGACATTGGTGATCTGCGCGTTGTGGATCGTCGATAAGATCGACGCCGCCACTGCGGAAAACGCCAAGGACGCGTGGACAGGATTTTCGACATCGTGCGTGACGGATGACTCGAAGAACACGTCGGTCTCTTGTCACGGAGTGCGAATCGTTCGGAAGATCGTACAGCAGTTACTGGAGAACACCATTAAGGAACGGAACATCGAGCTGTTCGACGGCGTATCCTTGGTCGAGGTACCCGGCTTTCTCCGGAAAGCCAGAGTGTTGAAGGGCTTCGGAGGCCTTGGACCCTTCCTACAGTTTCTGGAAGGTAGAGAACTTAGAGTCAAGCTGCCGTCTTTATTCCCTCCGAATATGGAGACTGCGTTGAAGGAGAGTTTGCCTTCCGATCTTGAAGGTTGGTAACTTGTTAGATCAAAATACGAACGATGTGTCGTGAAAATTTCGCGAGGATTTTTGAAAAATTTGTATTTTGTAGTGAGAGGTCGCGGCAGCGGCGGCGGCATCGGCGGTGGCGGCGGTGGTAAGAAAGGCGGTGGCGGAATGATGATACTAGCTCTTATGATGGGTAAGCATTCCTAAATCTGATTAGCATTACATAAAGAGATGATTATGCAAAAGCAATTGTTATATATTATTTACATGTCTGCATATAAAATAATACATATATTCAGCTTTGTGTGAATATTTTGCACATTTTGTTAAAAGATTCCGCATAATGATGATATCTAATTATCGTATTTGGTTTTATATATATGTTATATTTTGATTGAATATAATATAAATATATATTCTATTTTTGCGAATTTTGATATTAATATTTTCAAAATGTAATTTTTAATTTGTTTTTTTTTTTATATTTAATGTGACCCACGCATAATTAAGCATATTATTAAAGACACGTTTAATTATTACATATATCATTATGCAATCGTTATGTTTTCGACATAATGTTTCGTCATGTTTTATTGTAATTTAAATTCCATTAATCTAAAAGATCTACATTTCTCTAATTTATCCAGGTAAGATGATGGCCGCTATGGGCTTCGGCGCGGTTGGTCTTTTGGCCATGAAAGCATTGATGGTTTCGGCCTTGGCCTTGATGCTGTCATTAATCATAGCCGTGAAAAAATTAGCAAGTAGCGGCGAGGATCACGGTGGTCACCATGTTGTTTACGCGCAAGATGTTGGCCATCATCATCGCAAGAAGAGATCAATCGAAGACCATGATTCTACGCTGTTGCCTTACAGAGGATACGCCAATCTTTACGCTAATTTGCGAACATCTTGATACTTTTGCAGTATAATTGCAGTATCTTAATCGCAAAATTGAATTAGTTCTCGAGCTTCTTAACTCTCCTGTCGCTATTAAAGCTTTGTTCAGATAGACACGACTAGACATACCACGTTGACGGCGGCGCGTTGATATTGTGTTCACATAATTTACATTTCAGTCACATCAATATTGTTCCTTCATCATCGTCTCTCATTCATTTAGCACAACGTGCACCTTCTTCAGCGTGGCTCTTTTATATCTTCTTAGCTATAAAACTGTAAACGTTAACCGCTGTAGGAGAGTTAATAAGTGCTGGAAATTGACCGACGACGCTACGTGACAGAAGATTAGTGACAGTGACATCGACGAAACGACAGTGACGCAGAGACTAATTGACAGCTATATTAGAAAGTGATGTTTAACAAACGTTTACTCGCGAGAAATACGATAATCGATCTCTATTGGTCTATCACTTTGACAGGACTCTCAGTTAAATATCACGGAGATGCATAGAAGAAACCAAAGTATGTTGTTGGATCTTTTTTATTTATTTATTTTTTTACACACGTATTTATTGTTGTGTGCAACACATGTTAATAAAAGCATATGTATTTGAAATATATAAAATATCATGTTTGCATAATATATAATATCGTGTTTATTATCATCTCGATTTTCGAGGCACGATTATTCATGTTTCTCACGATAATATTATTAATGATATGATAATGAAGCATTATTTTAATATAGGCATAAAATATCATAGATCACGAAATCAATTTAAACGGAGGCAGCATTTAGTGCATGATTTTCGGACGAGCTTGCGTAACGTCATTATTACCAGAAATTAATAAGGCATTTAAAATAATAGGCTTAAAAATGATACGGTTTGCTGAGTCGAGCCAGTCGACACGATGTTTCCCGTTTGATTGCACACGGAACATTGGAAAATCGCACGAACGAGGTAACGAATCGAGCCAATGAGGAAAGTGTGTCAGCGACCTGCTGTGTCGCATGTTGCATATTCACCTGCGTATGGATGCGCGTTTACCCAACTCGTTCGTTACAACGATGCAAGCAAGGCTAATAATAGTTCGCGCGGATCTCACTTAAGCAGATTAACGGTGATAGAGAACGCGCACATCGAAAGTTAAGTATGCGGCTAATAATGATACAGAGATACATATCACGGACATTGCGCAAAAAATTCAATTAATAATACGCGGCTAATGTGAATCACGTTTCATCTATTCAGATATTTTATGAGAGATCTAGATTTGTTCGTGTTCTGAATAACAATCAGCAATCTGTGCGAGAAAAACTCATGATGTGAATTTCGAGGAAACTAGTTCGAATCTTAAAAAAAAAGAATTGCGAGAATAGGATCTGTAAGATTCAGATCGATGCCCGTTTTTATCAACGACGTTTGTGTGAATTTCGAGGAAATTAGTTCAAATCTTAAAAAAAAAAGAATTGCGAGAATAGGATCTGTAAGATTCAGATCGATGCCCGTTTTTATCAACGACGTTTTCCCCGCATGCACGTGAATCTCAGCCCAGATTGCGAAGAACTCGATGGAAGAAAAGACACCGAGAGAGAAAAAGGTAAAGGAGAGTCGTAATGGAGGAAAGGTTCAGCCAGGAGCGCGAGACGACGAGATATAAGAGGAACAGTTCTTTCTTTCTCTCTGTGCATCTCTCTGGCTGCCTTCTCCACGTTGGATTCCTCCCACTGAAACTCCTGGCTCATTCTTTCTCCACGTGGAAGGGGACGGAAAGAGCTCCGGCTATAAGACCCACTGGCATACATACCGATCGTTTCCTTTTTTACGTTTCGAATATCATAAAACCTGGAGAGTCGCATTGAAAGCAGCTCAGACGGCGATGCAGTCCCGAACGGAGCCGGTCGCGAGCGCAGTCTGCGATGAGGGTTGCTGCAATTCCATTTATATAAAATGCGAAAGCAATTGAGATTTATAATATTCATTGCATTATAAGATTATGCGAATCAAGCGAATCATTACAAAATATTTTATTATTAAAAATTATATCTATAATTATAGTAATTATATAGTAATTATATCTATTATAGTAATTATATCTATCATATATATTTTATTTTTTATCTTTTTGCATTGTTATGATGCGATTTTCATGACGAGATGGTACTGTATTATATGGATAGATAATTGAATATATATATTATCAAGTTTATTATATCTAATAACAATAGAAATAGTAATAATTTGTAATTACCTTGAGCACAATGATCAATGAAAGAATACAATTTATTTTTTCTTTTTTAGTCTTTTTGATATCTTTAACGATTTTCTGCAAAGAATAAATGTATGAGACAACGTATTTGTTATCACTTTAATGATATTTTTGTTCTGTGCTCTGTATTTTTCTTGACAGATTATTAATTATTGTTATATTTGATTGAATATCACTTTGACATAGTCTTTTTTTGTGTATCATTAATAATATCATTAATCACATCAATGTAAATGCAATTTCTCTATCAATATTATAAAATATATAGCTAATTTGAATAGTATATTGCATTACAACGTATGTTTAGTACTGTAAGGTACGCGTTTTCTGGCACACGAACCGCGTTATGGTCCATAGACGAGGAGAACCAGTTGGGCGCGGAAGAGTACCCCGTTACATTCCACGCTCATTACGAACCTCTCGTAAGGAAATTTAAAATTCAAATTCGAGTTGCTTGGCTACCGGCCGAATTTTCAGGTCGTACGCATGTCGATGGCCTGCGGGGATCGTAGAATCAATCGAACATTGCATCAGAAATTCCTAGCACAGCCCATCAACGGACATTAAACTAGTTTCTGACAAGAGTTTGAAGGCTAGAATATTAAAAACCGCTACGTAGTCCTTTACGATTTAGGGCAACAAACAATTGTTAAGTGCATTTTTATGAATATTTATTGCCTTACGGATAGTAGCACTGTTATCGTCCACCGAGTTCTAGATACCGTGGGAACATTTTAATTCATTAGCATATTCGTCTGGAAAAATACCGTCTACGAAAGTCGGTGAATATCTTTAACATAAAATTAAGACTGACGATATCCAAATTTTTTATTGAAGCCTATAATTTAAGAATTATTTTATTATTATTCTAATAACTATAATTGTTTTAATATTATATATATTTATATATAATATTATTATATAGCATATGATATAACATATTAAATAAAAAACACTCGATATGACCGTATAATGTTTTCAAGGTAAAAAAAATTTGTCTACAATTATATTTTAATATAAGTCATCCCGCGCGCAATGTATAGATTAGATAAAATATCGTATGCATCTTTGTTAAATACCTCGGTGGTCTGAGTCGCAGACCACCTACGCGGTTTCACTTTCTTGAAATTTAAACCCATGGCGTACGTATATGCGCGCTGAATACAAAGAATTTGTTGATTGTTGCGTGTCCGTTTCGCACCATCCCGATAGGTCGGGAGGAACAGAATGAAAACGACAAGAGGTGTTATCCATCGGCGGCGGTCCGTGAGAGTCGCAGGGTCAGAGTAGAAAGTGGTGTTCGCGATGAGGCTCGATGAAGGTCGGATCCGGGATGTTTAAATTTGATCCGTACCAGTTTTCTTTCATTCATACCGGATTGTGTCTCGTATCTCTATCGTACAACGATTGGCGCGCGTACGAGTCTATCTATGAGAAGAGAGTACGATAATTTCAAAGCATTTCCCCTTGAACTGTAATGACGATTGTTGTTTCAATTTAACGACGAGGTTAATTGAGCTACTTAAGTTATCGCTCGTTACGTTGCAACTCGCTTGTAACATGCGATAGGAGCTTCGTATTCTCGATTTACGATGCGAATGAAGTTTTCAGTAGTAAGAGTATGGATTCTAATCAGACGCAGAGGTCGCGTTTTATAATATATGTACGGCTATTTCGCTCGCCGTAGTTCCCTTTATTTTCTCTTTACGTACGCATGATGCGAAAGATTGTAACATGAGTTAATTAAATACAGTTTATTGCTATTTGTAGAAATTATAGTGAATGCATTATATTGCCACGTGTTCTTTGTAACTGGTTCTTTAAATGTTAATTTATCTACGCTTTCTATCCAGTTGTAGTGACATTTGCTTAAAATGGATAGACTGAACGATCCTTTCCCATCAAGTCTTTTATTGTCTTTCATTGAATATGATAATAAATACCAAAATGGAGAAGAAATACACGCTGACATAGTATTCAAAGTCGGTTAGTATTAAGGCTGGAATTTAAAATCGCTGAAACGGCGATTTCTCGAGAGTGTGTTTACATGAGATTTAACACATTCTTGAAATTCGGCTCCCATCCGTTTTTCGATTTTGCATACATAAGTATGTAAAGTAATCAGGACAAGCGGAAATATATCGTCTAACCTGATCAAAAGTAAGTCTATTTCTTCAGACGTTAATAATTTATAGTTTTCTTATAATGCATGTATAAATACTCGTATATTAAACCAATTATACACATATATACTGTATATTATGTCATAAGATTTAACACACAAGTAAATCATTTATTTTAAGCGGATAAACGTTATTATCAAATGAAACTGATCAGCTGCAATTTTCGATTATGCTAAAATATAATTTTTTTGATATCTGATGAGTATTATTAAATTCATATTATTATCAAACTCAAGTTAAGTTAATAAGCTAAATTTAAGTGATAAGTAAAGTCATTCTATGCCATAAATATAAAAATAGAAATATCGTATATTTAATGTGTATGCTATTTTCTATCCTTTACAACCCAACCGCGTAGCATTAGAGAGTACTCCTTTGAGATAGCTAGAAATATTTCTGTTTTATCACCCTATACGTTGTACTCGTATTTTTGACCGGATATTCAAAGTGTATTCATTGAAAGATTGCATATCCTGTGCAATGCAAAGTTGGTTCCGTATGCTTAAGAAGTACGTTGTTGGAAGAAAGCGTTTTTACTAGCGTTCGAGGCGTTGTCCCTCGCAGCTCCTATACACCCGGCCTCTATTTGCTCTGCCGTAGGTAGGTCGCAGGTCGCCTCGCGGTTGGCGGCGTGGTCGAACCTCGTCATAGGTACACCTATCATCTATTGAACGAACACATCCATACATCGGTCGTATGCCGGTTAAACGGATGCGCGACGCACGCAATGCTCACGCATTCACGCACGTCAAATGGAAAGAAAAAAAAGAGGCAGTGGGGCGGTCACAACGGCGGAGACGGTAGAGGAGGGGTCCGCCAAATATAAGCTAAAGAGATTGTCCGATGGACCACACGAAATTTCACTACGCACGGAACGGCTTTCGGAAAAGATCCGAACTACGTAGATCCATCGAACGCGTCGTGCCGCGATCTAGTGCTAATTTTTCTCCTGTTACGTGAAATTTTCCGCACGGAGTCATGAAGATACTGAAGAAGCTGTTGATTTTGATGACCGCGGCCGTCCTAACCGCCGGACAGAGCATCGACGACTGCCTCAAGCAAGACAGCATATCCTGCGTGCAGAAGACCCTATACAGAACCGCTAAGGAATTCTTCGCCAAGGATAAACTTGAGCTTGTGAACGGAGTGAGCCTTGTGAAAAGTAATGCCGATGACAGGAGTGCCAGGTCCGGCAAGGAACTCGCGTACGATCAAGAGATAGACGCCGCTAACGATATCACGGAGAGACAAAACACCCTCGAGAACTTTATTAGCGATGAAGCTGGACAGCTCCTGACCGGTCGCAGTCTTAGGGTAAATCAAGAATTATTGAAATATACACACATTAGTGAAATACAATACTCTTACAATAATTACTTAAAAAAATTGACAGCTATGTTTTACGTATAGTTACATTAACATATATTGTGATTGAATTTATATCTATTCTTTCAGATCAATCTTGCACCCGCCTTTGAAAAAATCCGTGAATCGGCTCGTGCCATCAGCGAGTCTGTGCCACCAGAAATTCGTCAGGCCGTCGACGAGGTTGTCGAAGGTAATGTCAAAATCGATAGATATACGATTGCTAACAATTTTCACACGAATCTTCATTCACATTAATGCGTATCGATTATAAATTTAGTTTGCTATTACACGCCTTACGTAATTATTTCAACAAATAATTCAATGATAATAAATAAAAATCTCTTGTCTCATTTTAGGTCGAGGCAAAAAGAAAGGGTTGAAAGCGATTATACCTCTCCTGATCGCCGCGAAAGTGAAGCTCGGTATTTTAGCGACTCTCGCGTACTTCGCCATCTCAATCATGGCGAAAAAAGCGATCTTCGCGTCCCTCATTTCCCTCGCCATTTCTGCGTTTATCGGTTTGAAGGCTCTCTGGGCGAAAAAAGCCGCCTATCACCACGATATTACCCCCTACAATAGCGGCTGGAGCGGGCCCATTGCATCTGGTGGATGGTCTGGTCCTGTCAGCGGTGGATGGTCCGCTCCCGTATCTGGTGGATGGGCCAGCAGCGGCTCTTCCGGTTGGGAAGATCCTCACGCTTACTCGCACAACCAGGCGTACTCTGGATATCACCATCATTAACGATAATCGTTAATATTTTCTTCTATATCTTTTCTTTTTTCCCTTATTTTCTCTTCGTCGAATATTGGACGACGGAAAGAATGAGATACCGACGAAAGTCGAGTGACTCAAGCTTGACTGTTGATCCTTCACTGTTCGCGATATTATATAAAAATATTTATTCTTATTTATATCATTAAATAATGAATAGGGCATTTGGCCCTTTCGCGTAAAATGTACATAAAGTTATATATATTAATACTCGCTCACATACCGCTTTTGCGAATAGATCGAGCAGATAAAATGTAAAATCACATTAAGCTAAGAAGCTAGTCGCAACACGTTCGATCGGCGGAACCGTAAGTCACTAATTATGTCTTTGTGTTGAGATATATACAATGTTACATATTACGATTTTGCCATCGCAACTTTAGCTCAAGCTTCGGCGCAATCACGATAGCAGAACTTACTTGAGACGCAGTTGGTGAATCATGGTTACATCTAGTCCAATACGATGTATATGCAACACAGTTACATCCTTACGAATCTGTACGCTTCGTAATATGCATGTTCATTAATATTATTTATACAAAAAATTTCAATGCGTCAATTATTAAAATCCTTTTCCTATTTTTCCCATATCGCGAAATACCATCTCGTTGTACGTGATAAATATACTTTGACACAGATTATAATAAATGTCTTTTACATAATGCATATAGCAAAAAATATTATACGATATATTATACGTCTATAACCGTTAATCCTGAGAAGCAATCTAACAAGAGCTCTCTCATTTAATCAACAGTGAAAGTTTCAATCCCTGATACGTGAATGATACGATAACTGATATTCCACCAATTTAAAGAAGCGCTTCTCGCATATTATTCATGATGTTTTCATTCTTGATGTCGAATCCGCAAATCATTCATGAGTCGAGCGAGAAGCTTCGAAAAAGAGAAATCATCGTATATAACGGCAGCGACAACTTTCCAGTCTTCCAGGAAGGTCCGAAACATTTTTTTCCTCTTTTTTTCCGCGAGCGAAACTCTTTGCCGCGACCGCATTGCATAAAGAGTATGTTTGAAATTGTTAATGTATCGCGAGTGTTCTGCTCCCCTTGACGAGCCATCCGGCTGGCAGCGGCTCGATTTCGAGCCGACGAGATGGAAATGCCGGCTGATTCTCGACCGCGTGATGCGGCTGCGGGGGAAAGTGCGTGTCTCAGGTGTATCCGGCCGGAGTCGGTTGTTTCCTTAAGCCTGAGGTCGAGGGGAGGTCGCGACTCGCGTACATCATTTTCAATCGGGTCGAGGAGATACTGGCTTACTACACTAAATGTTTCGAGACCGATGTCCTTAAGTCCCACATAGAAGAAAAATAAGTAACTGGAAAGGAGGTTGAGACAAAATACCGCGTTCCTTCCCCACGCGCCGTGCATTAAAATTCCACCGAATGCAGTAAAAAGAATTTTACTTCGACAATAGGTGCGTGTCGATCTAATGTTTTCTAGGACGATGCGTCAAGAAAAAAGATGAAACAAATTGATGGTAAACCGAGAAATAGAATAAATCTATGATTTTTGCTTTATTATCATCCTTCGACGGATACCGTTTATAATTTGCGGATAATTTATGTTGAATGAAAAGTGCATGCAAGATACAGTGTGTAATCTCGCGCGGATAAAACGCGCCAAAAAACAAATTATTCACACGAGACGCAAATCAGTGCACGAGATAGAGTGTCGTAAAGAAAAACGATGCACCGGTGCAAAAAAGCCAATTGTCACGCTACTCGTTTCTCTGCAACAACGATAATCACGACATTGCTCCGAAAAGAAGAAAAAGATGCGAAATTGCTTCGAGAGGAAGAGGAGTTACTTTCGTTTGCGGTAAAGCCGAGCACGATGCAATGTAACTATATTAATACTATAAAGATTGGAACGAATCTTTTGATTCCTAAGAAGTTTTAAACAGTTCCCTTTTTATTAAATTTTTGCAATTTGTTTTGTGTGCATCTACATTTTTTTTTTATTTTATGCTGCAATAAGAAATATTTTTTTCAAATTTAGATTATATATTTTACATTTTTTTTGCATAATGTAAATTCTTTTAACGTTAATTTTCACTGTGCAATAATTTCTTTTGTTTTGAATAATCAATTTTAATTACCTCTATTTTTTATATGATCATTGATTTGTGAAACATTTTATAAGCAGGAAAATTATTTTCTCCTTCTGTGATGAGAGATGCGTGGCGTATAGAACAAATTTAAAAAAATGTGAAAATTGGCACCGCTGCGCGTCACGGATGTGTAAGCGGATGAATAAAGCCGTTCTTCGAGCTCAGAAAAGCGGAATTTCTCCGCGTTTGCAGCGTCGACTGGTTCGTCGTTTCATTATTAGAGAGTCGTAAAGTTTCGTGCCGAACGCGTCTTTTACCCGCGTCTAAATCCAGATACGCGATTCTCACGTTATGATTAGTTTTGAGAATTTCTCATGTGTCATTAGGTTACTAGATTTCCTAGTGATCGACTTCCTAAAACATTATTAGACACACATATCGCCGTATTGTCGCATCGTAAATTTGTGCCATTTTGCATAAGAACCTGACTAACTTGCATATAATAAATTTTTTTTTTTCGGCAAAGCCGCAGAGATTGTTAGCAATTTAAAATATCTCAAGTTACATTTTTGCAAATGTATGCTCTATTTATTTATAACATTAAAGAAATATAATAAAAAATATCTTATTTTTATATCGCTTGCTTAATAAGTTAAATTGCTTGATTCACAATTCGCGAGAATTTATCATACTTCATCTACTTTCTAATCTTCTATAATTACGCATCCAATCGTGCAACATTCAACGAGATAAGCTTCATTCATGAGATGCATTTCTATTTGGCAGATTGAATGAGCTATGATCTGCTACATATGCCGGTATTATAAGGCATTGGTATTGCACGTGCATACAATATACGTACATACATATATACACAAAGATTACATATTGGTCTGAGACATGCCGGTTGGTATACCTTGAACTTAACCGAGCGCCGCGATTTCGAAACAATCAACGAGCGACCGTTACCTTTCCCATAACTTTCAACGTTCCACGGCCAGGGTCACGTTATCGCACGGAATGGGTATATCTGCTACAACGAAATTTAATTGGTGCTCTCGTACTTAATTGCTCTCGGCGGTTGACTAATTGGTATCACAGGAGCATCGCGATACTCGAGTCCCTGGTTCTCCACGTTCTCTTCATTCGCCAGCACGGATCTCTCTTTCTGTTTCCCCTGCGGCATTTTTTGATGATTTCTAAGGAACTTTGATCGAAGCGCTCTTTCAGTAATTTTTTTGATGATTTACTGCGTTAATTCTGAAATGAAAAACATATTAATAAAATATTTTAATGTAGTACGGTTTAATTTAATAAATTTTGTAATAAAAATATAAAGCTTTAAATTAGACAGTAATCTTTAGAATTAATTACAATGCTAAATGTGAGTTTAAATACGTTGCTTATTTTTTATTTTCTTAGTTATGCATAAAAAACGCGAGACGTTCGCTTTTCTTTAGAGTGCACAGGCGTAATTTCTTGTTCATCTCGCTTGAAGTTTTAAAGAACCCAGACCGCGTCAGGTGTGCGATTTCGCTCAAGGCGACATTCGCTCTCGCGTACCGGGGGATCTTGATCTTTTCCCGAGTGAAGTCGGGATCGAGAACGTCGTTACTGTGGAAAGGAGCAAGAAAAAGAGAAAGAGAGACAGATATAAAGAAGAGGGAGATAATATAAAAGAGAGAAAGAGAAAGAGAGAGACCAAAACGATCGCTCAACTCTCGACCTAGTTAAAAATAGGTGAGTGACCTCGTTCCAGGGATAATATCTCGTGTTCATCATCTGCCGATGAATTTTTCGGAGGTGGACCGAGAGACATCACCTGCAACAATTAATCGCCGCTGATACACTACGAATTCCCGTAGAAAACGCATTTGTTTCGGCTCTACATATTTCGATCGATAATCGCCCTAAAATGCAATTTCCAGATAAAACTAAACGATCAGGTGGCAAGATAATTTTCATTGTACTTCCACAATTCACCATTGTAGTCAGGAAAATAAGGAATAAAAAAAAATTGTAGTTTACCGGTTCGGTATCTAAACTCTTTGCGTGCTACTTTTAACACAAAGAATTAATGAAGCCGAAGTAATAAGACATGAGTCATCAGTCGTTGCTAATGGAGGTTGTAAAATGCATCCGCCGACGCCAGATTCATCATTGATACACGCGACGCTTCGTGTATCTCTACTGAAACTACACGACCTCGTTGAACTAAGGTATCTGGAGCGGTCGCAGCTCTTTGCTGTGATTATTTGAATAAACGAAGAGAAATATCGAATAGTTGTAATTCGCTTCATGAGCCCTAGAAACATTCATATTCCGTGAATTGCACACCGGCAAATGACCATCGTGGAATCTCACAGTTGACCAGAATTTCTTGATTAGCCGTCTCGAATCAACGTCAATGCACGGCACATACGTGGACTCCCGCACGCGCGATGGTCATTCGAGTCGCACAACACTCTCGCAATAATCATAGGCGGATAGACGGGTGAAATGGTGCGGCAAATCATATAGGACCCGCGTATACTTTTTTTATCGTCCTGGATGTCTATAGGTTTCCTTCATGTTGTAAGTTTCTCTCATCGAATCTGGTTCGGACTGTATTGGAGGGGCTCCCCTTCTGTCACCAGTTAATATGTTTTAAAGTAGGTCCATAGCGTGAGAACATGTCCACGCAGGAAGAGTGGGCGGAGAAATATGAAGAAAATAAGCAATATATGGCAGAGGAATATATGAATATATATTAATTCGAGAATTTATATTAATTCTTAAAGAATCCTGGATATATCGTGACAGAAATCCTCTCTTCTGTATTTCTCCTCTTATATATTTCTCTTTTCTCTTCTTCTCCTCTCGTGCTTTTCCTTCTTCGTGATTCGCGGCTTCTACTTTGCCGAAATAAACGGGCTGATGAGAGGAAGGTCGATGAAAGGGGAGGAAGCTAGCGTGGGGAACTCCTGCGGCACTCGACACACTCGATAGAGCAAGAGAGAGAAAGGGGTGGGGGGTGACGAGAGAGGAGCAGCGAAAGGAGGGAGACGAGAGAGCGCACGATGCGAATGCGGACCCCCGATGGCCTGCGAACTCACGAAGGTTCCCCACGTGCGATACTTTGGTATAAAAGCAAAGCAACCTCTTTTAGATGTAACACACGAGGCAGCATCGGCGCATCCTGGCGTGCCTGACTACGTACGAACGCGGCTGCACCTTGTTGGGGCACGAAGGAGCCAAGAAACGTACCGCACGTGAGGCACGCGACTGTAGGATACCTTCGGCTTTGTTCGCACAAGACGCGTAGAACGCAGTGGAGTCGCACTCGGTGACCATGGCCAAGCATTTCGTGACGTTACTGTGGGTGTCGGCGGCATTGACCGCGACCCTGGCATTGCCGACCAGCGAGAAGATCAGCGGAAGTGAGAACGATCTGATGACGAACATATATGCCGACTGCTTGAAAAAGGAATCCATCAACTGCATCAAGTACAAAGTATTTACCTTCGTCGACAAGATGCTGGCTGACAAGGAGGATATCACGCTGTCTGAGGGCATCACCGTTGTTAAAACGTCCAGCGCCGAGGGCGAGGGTGCGCCCAGGTTGGTTGTCAGCCGTTCTATGAGAGAGAACTCCTAGAATTATGCGATTAAAAAAAATTTAAACGCGTTGAGCTCCTTTTATAATTCTTAAAAAATACTCATGCATTACATTTTTTGGCAGATCTATCGAATCCAGCGATTTCGATACGCTCTTATTCGATCGTCTTGGAAGGTTCCTAAGGACGCACTCCGTTAAAGTTGACCTCAAGGGCAGCGATATTTTAGGAGCGATCGAGTCTGCTGGGCGCAGTTTCGAAGACTTTAGCGATAACGCCGTTGAAAGCCGTGGAAAAAAGAGTGAGTATAATATGAAAGTTATGTACATTCTAAAATAGTGATGTAAGAAGATCAGCTTACAAATGCGCTTGGATGTGATATCAAACCGGTTGCTAATAGCATTGCTAGTCTCTAATTATGTTTTATTGTGTTTGTTTTTCGCGAAGAAATTTTGTTACAGCGATTGCTCGCACTTGCTAAATAGAAGATTGTTTTGAAAGTGAGATTGATAGCGTAATAATTGAGTAATTCTTAATCAACTTGTAAATCAACCGAAGATAAAATTGTTTGTAGTATTAGAATGCTTGCACTTCTTATAAATATCAGAATTTTTAACCATCATGGCCATCGCCATTGGTCTATCATATGAGAAAAAAAATTATAATTTTATATGTTTATATATATTACGGTTTATTTATATATTATATA